ATTGAATGTAAATTGGCTTGAATTCGGCTGAATTAGTTGAATTACTTTTGAATTAGATTGAATTGGCCTGAATTAGTTTGAATTGGACAGAATTAGAGGTGTACATTTGGCAGGGGAGTTATCCACCCCTCTTCATATTCCCACACCTACGCCAGACTAAATTCGACACCGTCTTGTCTGGCAGACGCTGGCACCGCTGACCACGCTGCTGACCGCGCTGATCGGCGCTGCCCACGCCGGCCGCACTGCCCTTCGCTAGCCGCGCTGCCAATGCCCCAGCAGGTGATGGCCAAACGCGAATGGCTCAAATGACATCCGTCTGGCGCGGATCGGATGCGAATCGGCGGGAGGATGCTCTGCTCGTGAGAATGCAACCCCAGCAGATCAGCCCTCCACGCTGGACGCTCCCGATGGCATAAATAAAGGTGCAGGGCAGACCAGAGCTCAGTCGTTTTGGAGGCAGAGATCTCAGACGGGCGGGCGCGCTCGACCCGCTGCCTACGCTGCACTGGAAATGCAAGTGTGTGAATGTCGCTCACCTGCAGGTGAGCGACATTCCATTCGTACACTTAGGGGGGTAAACGTGTGAATATTTTAGGAAAAATTCACACCTTTACCCCCCTAAGTGTACGAATGGACTGTCGCTCACCTGCAGGTGAGCGACATTCACACACTTGCATTTCCAGTGTGTGCGAGAGAGAGAGAGCGACAATAGCCGGGCGAAGGCGAGGCTGCAGCGGCCTGGCAGCCCAACAACCGAAGCCGGCCGAACTTGGCCGAGCGCTCCCGACAAGCCGGGCGGCCGCTCCACCCGTGGGTTCGGCTCGACCCGCTGGGTCCATGCAGCTTCTGCTTGGATTTGGCTCGGCTCGCTGCGCTGCGGTCCAGCCTGTCTCCCCCATTCCCGTCCCGCTTGCTTTGACCAACACCCCACTCCCCGGCCCACTACTTGTACTGCCGCCACCAGGTCGTTTAAGCGTTTTTAGCCCGCCCTTCTGCTTTCAAAAAAGCAGTAAAGCGGGCTTATGCAACCGCTCTCGTGTCTGTCTGTCTGTCTGTCGTCCGTGTAAGAGGAAGGAGATGAGCTAGAGGTCTACAAATTTCAGGGTATCTTAGGGGTCACTCCTCGACAACGAAACGCCAGGTGCAAATCCTGGCAACCACCCCTAAAGGGGTGAAAGGGGATAACAAAGAAAAAAGGGTTGGTCCAAAAAGTAGGAAAAAAATATTTTTCTTATGGTCTTCTAAGGGGTAACT